ATAAACAATCAAGTCAGATATGATTATTCGAAAAACATCTGAATTTTTAATGCTATAATCCAGTCAAATTTACCAAAGCCCATGTAGCCTTATATAGTTGAAACCAAAAGTTTCAGCCAGGTAATAAATTGTGTTTTCCCTGGTTTTATTAACTGAGATAGAAATGACATTAACATAATATTAGTTTCAGATATACAGCATGATTCAATATTTGTATATATTGCAAAATGATCATCACAGTAAATCTAGTAACATCCACCACTTACATAGTTACAAAATCTTTTTTCTTGTGTGCTGAGAACTTCTAAAATCTCTCTCTTAGCAACTGTCACATATACAAATCAGTATTAACTGTAGTCACCCTGCTGTACATTACATCCCCAGACTTACTTATTTTATAACTGGACTTTTGTACCTTTTGACCCCTTCACCATTTTATCCACCCCTCACGCCTGCTTCTGGCAACCACCAGTCTGTTCTCTGTATCTATGAGTTTTCCTACTGTTTTCAATCTGAACAAATCATCTATTATTTTGCCTACTACATAACGAAAAGATGAGGTTTGGGGAATCCTAGGGGATTTTGCATTGCTCCCTATAGAAATTAAAGCTGAAATTGTAGGAGCTCTCTGCCTTCCCATATATAGCAGTAACTATGTTTCCAAGCTGCAGAGATGGCAGGGAAGGCTGGCTTTTGTGAGATATTGAAGAATAATAAGAGATTTGGAGGGAGGAAAGGAATTGGGGGAGAGAAGGGGGAGGGCAAGAAATCCCACACATTCTAGTGAAATGGTGGCACATAACTGAATTGGATGGTGTTTTCTTCTGTGTATGAAATGCAAAGACCTTTTTATGAGACCTTAGGAGAAGAGGTGGGTGTAGTGCTGGGAGTGAGTGTCACAAATTAGAGTAAACAGGAATAAGTTTGGTCAAAGAACATATTTCTGACTGTTCAGAGTACCAATTTTAATTATCCTACAGTCCCTGGCCTGCAACAAGTTGCCTTCTTGGGGGAGTTAAACCTTTTAAACAAATGAACTGGAACCTCAGCACCCACTGAGCTGTGGAGAGGAGTCCACCAGTCAGCACCAAAGCTCTCAACTCATTGTCCTGTGAAACACGGGTCATATGATATTTTCCACACCACTGGGAAACATATGCATCGTACTGAATCATGTCTTTTGATATCCTGCCTAAAAGGCTCAGATGCAGTAGTTTGTGTCCTGCCTATAACTCATGCACAATCAGCAAAGATGATCCGTAGCATCTGCAAATGCTGTTTGCTGCCAGGACTAGGTATCCGTGAAGCCTTGTTAAATTGCCTGGAGCGTGTCTCAGGTTGAAACTTCACAGGACATTTGTGGCCTTCACTCTAGACGTCATGTCTGGTAGGGGAGCCATTGAAATAGAGCAGGTAAGCGGCTAAAGAGTATCTGGCTGAAGAGATGGGAGGGCTTACCTGGCTTGCTTCCCCATTAGGCTGTTAGGTCTTATAAACCTTTAGGGCAGCTAGAGATTTTAGTTACCACACTACCTAGTGTTTGAAAATTACCTTTCTAATTGCAAAAAGGAATACAAACACATTCTATCAACAGACAGCAGAGTCAGAGGCAGACCAGAGAGAGTCCTACCTATTGCTGAGTCCAGTTTGGAATATTTTGCATGCCTGGAATTTTCACAGATTGCAGAGGATCCCTCTGTGAACAATTAAAGGGCAGCCTATAGATCCCAGAGTTTTCAGAAAATAACTCTTTTTTAGCTCAAAACACTTGGTCAGGCTTCTTGTTGAAGTCTGTACATACATCTTTGTAATTTAAAAAAATAATAAAATAGAGATGTAAAGGGCAAATGCGCACCACCCATGGCATATTATGAGCAATGCCCTGGGCCTCTGGCCCTCAGTGCTGCCCCACTCACTGCCCTCTGCCCAGACCAATTGATTAATGCCTCCGTTCTGTCTTTGCAGAGTGAGGATTCAGATGAGGATGAGCCTTGTGCAATAAGCGGCAAATGGACTTTCCAGAGGGACAGCAAGAGGTGGTCCCGCCTTGAAGAGTTTGATGTCTTTTTTCCAAAGCAAGACCCAGTGCCCGGGTCCCCAGATGATGCCCACCTGCAGAACGCCACGAGCCACGAAAGCATGCTGACGGATCTCAGCGAGCGCCAGGAGGTGGCTTCCGTCCGCAGCCTCAGCAGCACCGGCAGCCTGCCCAGCCACGCGCCCCATGGCGGGGATGCTGCCACGCCCCGGACTAACTCAGTCATCAGCGTCTGCTCCTCCAGCAACTTCGTGGGTGCCGAGGACTCCTTCTGCAGCCTGCCCTCTCCCAAGGAGCTGTCCAGCTTCAGCTTCAGCATGAAAGGGCACGAGAAGAACCCCAAGTCCAAAGCGCGCAGTCTGCTGAAGCGCATGGAGAGCTTGAAGCTCAAGGGCTCGCACCGCAGCAAGCACACGGCGCCGTCCAGGCTGGGGCTGATCATCAGCGGGCCCATCCTGCAGGAGGGGATGGACGAGGAGAGGCTGAAGCAGCTGAACTGCGTGGAGATCTCCGCCCTCAACGGCAATCACATTAACGTCCCCATGGTACGAAAGAGGAGTGTGTCCAACTCCACGCAGACCAGCAGCAGCAGCCAGTCTGAGACCAGCAGTGCCGTCAGCACGCCCAGCCCCGTGACGAGGACCCGCAGCCTCAGTGCCTGCAACAAGCGGGTGGGCATGTACCTAGAGGGCTTTGACCCATTCAGTCAGTCGACGATCAGCAGTGTCATGGAACAGAACTTTAAAAACCGCGAGAGCTGCCCGGAGGACACTGTGTTCTACATCCCGGAAGATCACAAGCCCGGCACGTTCCCCAAGGCCCTCTCCAACGGCAGTTTCTCCCCCGCAGGGAACAACAGCTCTGTGAACTGGAGGACTGGAAGCTTCCACGGCCCCAGCCGTATCAGCCTGAGCAGGGACAATAGCAGCGGCAGCCCCAAGGAGCTTCAGAGACGCAATTCGTCCAGCTCCGTAAGCAGCCGCCTGAGCATCTACGACAACGTGCCGGGCTCCATCCTCTACTCCAGCTCGGGTGACCTGGCCGACCTAGAGAACGAGGACATCTTCCCTGAGCTGGATGACATCCTCGACCACGTGAAGGGGATGCAGAGGATCGTCAACCAGTGGTCGGAGAAGTTTTCCGACGAGGGGGACTCCGACTCAGCCCTGGACTCTGTCTCTCCGTGCCCATCTTCTCCCAAACACATCCACCTGGATGTGGACAATGACCGAGCCACACCCAGTGACCTGGACAGCACGGGCAACTCGCTGAACGAACCCGAAGAGCCCTCGGACATCCCGGAACGGAGGGATTCTGGGGTCGGGGCCTCCCTGACAAGGCCCAATAGGTAAGAGCTGGTCTTCCACCTCCAGACTGGGGGGTGGGAGTGGGGGCCAGAAAGTGCGGGGGAAGCCAGATGAAGTCCGGCATTCAGCGCCATGTGAGTTCCTAAGTGACAAACCAGGAAAATCCTACCATACAAACAAGAATGGATATTGATTAATGGGAACAGAGTAATAGTTTGGGAAGATGAAATAAGTTCCGTGGATAGATGGTGGTGATGGTTGTACAACACGAACATACTTAATGCCGCTCCACTGTACGCTTAAAGATGGGTAAGACGGTAAATTTTATGGTATGTATATTTACCACAGGGAGAGAAAATAGCGTGGAATGGAAGTTGAGTCCTCCAGTGCTTCTGCTAAGAAGCCAGTGGGCAGCCTGCTGCCGATTTTGCGAGTACTTCCTGCAAAGCTTTTGTACCCACGCTCTTCCCCTCTCTTCCCCCGCAGGCACAGGCTGCGATGGCACAGTTTCCAGAGCTCCCATCGGCCAAGCCTGAACTCGGTGTCCCTGCAGACCAGCTGCCAGTCTGTGGCTCAGATGAACCTGCTGCAGAAGTACTCACTGCTCAAGCTGACTGCCCTACTGGAGAAGCACACGCCATCCAACAAGCATGGCTTTAGCTGGTGAGGGGTCACGCCGCTTGGTGAACTAAATGAAAACGGTTTCGGTCAGCTCCAGAGGCTGTCCCAGCATGGAGAATAGGACAGTTCTATCCTTTATGAGTATCTGTAGTCTGTCATCCTAATGCAGTCCATCCCTGCATTCTTGGAGCCATATTGAATCCCGCCTATTCATTAAATAAGCCAATCTAGTTTTAGGGAACAACCAGCAGGATTGGTTGAGTGAGTTTTCAGCTCACCGAGTGACAAGTTGCTGGTCAGTGGGGATAATGCATCACAGTGGGGATAATGCATCACTCTCCCAGTGCATCATACAGGCACCTCCTTGCAGCGGCAGGAACAGCCCACCATAGGTAAATGTGTGTACCGTCTCAGGTCATATATATGGAAGGAAGGAAGGAGGGAAAATGTTTAGATCCTACGATGTTAGGAGAACAACTCCAAAGTGCTTGATGTACAGCATCTGGCCTCATAACCCTCTCCAAGTATGTTTTGGAAATCATGTTTGATGTGCATATTTTCAGCATCACTTAAAAATCTACCTGTGCTAGATAGAGAGTTTCGATTATGTTTTTTTCCAACAGACTTAAGCAGTGAATAATAAACCTAAGGAATTCACTATGCTAAAATATATGTAAAGAAAACACTCATTGGATGAACTGTTCACAATTACTTTAGAAAATACAGCCCTTGATGTGTGTAACATAAGATGTAGACAACTGGGCGGCCTGGGTCATGGACATGACCTTGGTTTGTCTACTGTCTCCGCACAGCAGAAACATGTCTACAGATTGACATCCTGCCCATTTTGCAGTGGGTATCCTTAGGTCTTTTCACTAATCTGAGTGTTAATTATCCAGTTGTACAACTAGTGCCTTTTACAAAAGCAGCCCATTTCATTAGGAGTGCGCTAGCCAACCAGAGATGCTCGACGTCATCAGCAAAGCAGCGTAGCATCCTCTCTTTAGCTCCTCTGCTCAGGACTCAGAGTGAGTTTAACTTCAGCATCAAAGCACCTCCTGTTCAAAGCTGTTATTATGTGATCCCTGCTAAATACAGAAGTTGTTTGTTCTGGATGACAGAAATAAGTATTGACCGGTTTATCCCACATGCTTCAGATTCTCGGTGGAGGTCGTAATGTGTTCTTTGCACATTCCACCACTGGGCTCTCTCCCCCAACAAAGCAAGTATTATGCACACTTACAGCCGTAATACCATATACTTAACTGTATAGAAATACAAATTTGGCTCTGCACTTCAGTTTTACCTTTCCTGGAGCTATAAACAGTAACATTTCATGGCTGTTGGTAAGCTCTCAAAGGTCAAGATGGTCTGTCTTCTGCAGTGTTCCTCTGTGCTTAGCATCATATTTTCCCTGATGGCTATTTAAAAGTACATATTTTGAATTCCCTTTTCTGAGTTGCCTTCCCCCTTGCCACCAAACTCTCAAGAATCTGAAAGTCCATAATACTTCTTGAGTTCTGGTCAGTTTTTCCAGTGAGTCAAAACCAAACATAAAAGCCTCTCATTGTGGGATCCATGGAGTAAGGGGCAATTCTGCACAAAGTTCTTTTCCTGTTCGGCCTTGCCCTTTCTTGTCACATTCAGAGGTCACTTGCAGAGCTGAAATTTCTGCTTGACAGCGTTCAGCGCCTGACATTGGTTTCCTGCTGCTGCGTATACTGCTGGGTCTGGACCTGGTTTTAGGACTCCAGGGAGCCTGGGTAGGCTCACAAAACCGTCATTGTTCTTTCCATCTCCCTTTAGAAACTTAAAGATTGTTTCATTCTCCAGGGTCACCAGCAGGAGAATTTTTTTTTTTTGACTTGAGGTCATTAGCATGGCCCCCACCATTGGGTCCTGGGGGTGGTTCTCATTGTGCTAGGCTGACATCATGTATTTGCTGTTTTCTCATCCAGCACGACCTGAGCTTTTTACCCTAAATACTTGGGATCTCATGGAGAACTCAGAAATGATTCATGTCCATTTTCAGTTCAAATAGGGACTTGTTTTTCGAACTCTGTCATGAAACACTTAGTTAGGGTCTTGAATCTTGTATTCTGTGTCTCTTCCTTCCTATATCATCATTTTATAAGAAAACGCATCAGCTCCCTTAAGCATACAGACGCAATTCTCAGAGTTCACAGTGGAAGGAGAATCTCCAGCCTGGGAGATCTAGAATAGTGTGGTAGAGTGGAACGGTCTGTGATCACGGAAGTGGTTTGTATTTGAACAGTCCAAGATGGTAGCTGCTGGCCACAGGTGGCTAGTGAGATCTTGAACTGTGGCTAATACAACTGAGGGACTAAATTTGCAATTGTATTTAATTTAATTTAAATAACCACCTTATTAGCATGGAACTAGAGCCTGAAGGGTTGACCTACAGACAAGTAAATGTATCTCCCACTCTCAATATCTTTAAATAGGGCTGTGCCCAAGTTCATGAAAAGGATCAAGGTTCCAGACTACAAGGACCGAAATGTGTTTGGGGTCCCTCTGACGGTCAATGTGCAGCGCACCGGACAGCCCTTGCCCCAAAGCATCCAGCAGGCCATGCGCTACCTTCGCAACCATTGTTTGGACCAGGTAAGAGTCCCACTTAGTCATGGGAACTCAGATGCATGCTGCTTCCTACAGTTCTATAGGGAAAATGTCTATTCCATCTTGATACTTAGCGTTTTTCTTCTGACAGGTTGGGCTCTTCAGAAAATCAGGCGTCAAATCCCGGATCCAGGCTCTGCGCCATATGAATGAAAGTGCCATAGACTGTGTCAACTATGAAGGGCAGTCTGCTTATGATGTGGCAGACATGCTGAAGCAGTACTTCAGAGACCTTCCTGAGCCATTAATGACAAACAAACTCTCAGAAACCTTTCTCCAGATCTACCAGTGTAAGTGCTCTTTGATCTTATCATTGGTGGTGGGGAAAAGGGGTGCCAACTGAAGACTGTAGCTTTCTCTGACCTCTGCCTTCAGGACCCACAGGACAACCTCTTGGAAACTCATGTCCTAAATTTCTTCCTGACTCCTTATTTGTGGAACAGGTTTCTGTGTATCTGTTGAAGAACACAAAAATACGTTTCCCTTTCATCATTCTCTAATTACTGAAGCAGTTGTATGTTTTTATCTTCTGACCCAGGAGCTCCTTCGTACGTACGTTTCTAGAACAGTGTTACTTAAGATGCTTAAAAGAGCCGGTACCAAGATCTCTCTCCACCTCTTCTATGGAGATTTCAGTTGCCCCGCAGCTTTCCAGCAGGGACTGTTGTGTTTAAAATGTCACAGGTGCCTGTGTGTTTTATCTCTCTGTAAAATGAATAAATCATCTTTTTCTGTTGTTCATCTCAGCTTCTGCCAGAAATACTTGGGAAAACAATGCCCAGGCCCTTCTCACTTTTAAGTAAAGCTTAAAGCAAACAGTTGTCTAAATTAATGATCAAGATCAGGATTAAGGCTTTTACAGCCTGTGTTTTTCTTGGCCCCATGCGGTATTACCGCAGAGGAATATAACAGCAGCTTCTCTTCGTGCTCAAATTGTCTTTAGAACTGGCACATTGGACTTTGTTTTATGAGAAGTGGAGCTGGTCTGGATTATTTCAGTATTTGTTTCATCCTTTCAGATTTTATGAAAACACAGGTCACTTTTTCCCCTACCAAGGTATTTGTTATGTATTGTAACCACAGAGCTATTTAATCAGTTTGTCCTATGGAGCTGCATCTGAGTGACATGATTTTTCCACCACGTTGCCTCTTAAAAGAAAGATTTGCCTAGTGAAGAGACCTGCAGGTTCGGGTCAGCATTCTCTACACGTAAATTATTCTATGGACTTATTTCTCAAGCATGCAGTTTTATACTACCCCTCAGTATGTTTTCTGAAACTTAAATTACACATTAAATATATCTGCTGTGAACGTTGAATATTTTAGCAGCTTGTTTTTCCCGTTTTAAGAATGGAGTGCACAGTTAAAATTATGGAATTCCCCAGAGATACTGGATATTTTATAGGAAGGCTAAGAAATCTCCATCCGTATCCTCTTGTACATATTTTAAATAAGATGTTTCATTGAAACTTAAAAACTTAAGTGTATAATCTTTTCAGTAATTGAGAACAGTCAGCCAGGGATTTCTAAAAAGTGCTTAGGAAAGAAACACTGTTCTGTAAAGCAAAAGAGCGGGCATCCTCGGGAGTGGAACCCTGAGTGGGATTTAGGAGTATACTGGCATTGTAGGTGTTTAACAATTTTTACCTCTTCCACAGGCAGGAAATACTTGAGGGTAGTGACGCTGGTAGCAATCCCTGATTTCTTCCATTAACCTCAAGTACACTTTCTCCAAGTGCTTGTTCAGTATGGGCTGAGGTCTTTAATGTTGGTATTTGCTTTGGGTCCCTTCCCTGCAATGTACGTGGAAAATCACTGAGTTGATGGGGGAAATTCTGGTTTTGTGTAGATGTGCCCAAGGACCAGCGCCTCCAGGCGATCAAGGCCGCCATTATGCTCCTGCCTGATGAGAACCGCGAAGTCCTACAGACGCTCCTTTACTTCTTGAGCGATGTCACAGCAGCTGTGAAGGAAAACCAGATGACTCCCACCAACCTGGCCGTGTGCTTAGCACCTTCCCTCTTCCACCTCAACACCCTGAAAAGAGAGAATTCTTCTCCAAGGTGCGGTCCGCTGAGATGTGCACATGCATGTTCTCTCCTTCGGACCCAGGCAGCCTGCCTTTCCAGCTATCCATTCCTGAATCCAGCAGAAAGCAGTTTGACCTCCTCCCTTCACAGCCCTGGGGTGTGACTTCCTAGATAGTCTGTAGTCACCAGGTTTTGAGAGAGAGATTTAGAATCATGCTTTGCCATGGCATGATTGTAAAAAAAAGTGTTTACCCCCATCCTCCCCATGCCCTTGGCAACACTGTCATGATTACACTTGCTGCCAGCCGAGACTCAGTGGATTTGCTCACCTAAAACACTGGGCTGGGGACAAGGGCCCTGCTGCCTTGGCTTCTGCGCAGCAGTCAGCGAAGCCATGCCCTTGGCCTCGCCAGAAGGTGAGAGGAAGTAGGTGGGTATAACGTTGAGCCTCAAAGTTAGGACCTGGCCTAAGCCAGTTGTCCGCAGTTTCTCCTTAGATGTAGACAAGATGGGAGTGGTTGCAAAAGAAATCAAGGAATGTGTAAGATAGCAAAGGCTAATGTTTGCTCTGCCCTTAAGTCCGTCCCAAGCACAGGACTACACCCTTGACATTCAGTATCTCTTTTAATCTTCATAAAAATCGTGGGAGGGGAAGATAGTATCGATTTTGCACCACAGGATGAAAGTGAGGCTGCAGGGAAGGTCAGTTATACTAAGTACATGTCTGATAGGAGGAAACGGCAGAGCCAGTTGGAGCCTCTTACCTCTGTGAACATTCACAAGACCACCTCGTGGAGTGCGTGTAAGAGGTGTCATTAACTGTACTTCACCCCACGTACCAGATCCATCCAGCCGACTCCTTTCCTGAGCAATAAAGGGACCGTACCAATATTTTTTAGCTAGAGGCATGGGGCCTAGTGGTACTAGGTGAAGTTAGCTTTGCTTCTAACAACCATACAATGCTTAAATATCCTTTTTAACTAGTTCTAGTCATTGGCTGGTGCATTCCAGCTTTAATGGGTAGAGAACTAAGGGTGAGCAGAAGAGAGAGATCAGATAAGATTAAGACAAAACCTCTAGGAGACAATAGATTTCTCCCTCACCTTCAGGAGGGGCTCCTATTTATTTAAACGAGAGAATAGTGACACTGTTTATCCCACCATCCAGGGCTTCCCACCCACACCCCCTTGAAGCTGTCTTCCTCTCCACCACACGTGCGTAGACTTTACAAGCCATCCTATTTAAACAGGAGTCTGTTTAACTGATGACTTTAAATAGCTGGATTTCACTGAAAACAATCTCTTTCATGTTTTTTGTGCATCGTTGTTAAACCTGAGAAATTCTAGTGACCTAAGTAAAGCTTTCTTGAACCATTATGACAAATAGGCTCCCTTGAAACAGTTTTTTCTCTCCTTCGGGTTTCCTCAACGCATTGGTTAAAAATGTATAAATATTTGAATATTTTTCCTCCCGTGCTTCTTCCACCTAGGGTAATGCAAAGAAAACAAAGTCTGGGCAAACCAGATCAGAAGGATTTGAATGAAAATCTTGCTGCCACTCAAGGACTGGCCCATATGATTGCTGAGTGCAAGAAGCTTTTCCAGGTAAGGAATTTGGAAAACTGGTTATTTGTTAAGGGTAAATAGTCATTTGCCCTCCTACTGTGACTTCCCAGTGATGAACATGTTACACAAGAATAAGCTTTATAGATGCTTTTATGAAGGTGATGTGTGTGTCCTCACACTGCCATTCGCAGTGGACAGGGATGCCCCTCCTTCTGTTGGGAATAGGCATTGCATTGCCCACCCTGCTTCGAGAACCCTGTCTGTTGTTTCTGCCCCCACGTCCTTTGACAGTCAGTGAGAATGAATACAGGCAAGCAAACCTCCTTGTGGCCTCTCCTGTCCCTTCCAGGTTCCGGAGGAAATGAGCCGATGTCGGAACTCCTATACCGAACAGGAGCTGAAGCCCCTCACGCTAGAAGCGTTGGGACGCCTGCATAATGACGAACCAGCTGACTATCAGCACTTCCTCCAGGACTGTGTGGATAGCCTGTATAAAGAGGTCAAAGACAAGTTTAAAGGCTGGGTCAGCTACTCTACATCTGAGCAAGCCGAGCTCTCCTACAAGAAGGTAGGTCTTCTCCCTGTCGTCAGCCGCATGAGTTCCAGTGGCCAGGACTTGGCTTCAGCAGGGACGAGAGCCTTTTGCCAACACAGCTGTCCATGGGGACCTGTCACCCGCTCATTTCCTTATCGAGCTGGGCAGACAGGTGGTCCACATTCCCCAGGTAGGAGAGGAAAGCCATCCAGCAGAAAGTGACACTCATCTAACACTCCCCAGAGGAGTCCAACTAGCTAGTGGATCTTGGTGCCACGGACTCGCACCTGAGTTCTTGGGATGCTTTCCTAGAGGTGTTGAGTTTTAGGGCATTTTATGATGTGCTTACATTTTTTCATAAGTTGATCAGAATCCTCCTGTACTCACCTCTGTTCTCATCACTCTTCTTTTGGCCCTGTCGTGAGCAGGGAGTGTTTGGGGGGAAAATTAACCTGAAACCTCTTGAAGGCATCTAATGTGGCTTAGCATGACAGGCCAGAGGCAGTGTGTGTTTGATACACTACCTTTCCCATTGTGGAAGGGAAGAAACAGAGCATCTGGATGCCCATGCAGGCTTTGGGGTACAAATAAATAATCTTACTTTATTGCATGGGCCCTAATATCGATCCCAGGAAAACAGATGTAATAATTTTGACCAGAAAAATCAGCCAAAGGCCAGGCATTCTGGCCTGCTCTTGAATGTCCTTGGGGACAGCAGCCTATTAAGTCCAGAGCCAATCACTGACCTCTAAACATAGGCCCATGTACTCAGCAATTTGCCTTCAAAGCCTCGGTGTGTGTGAATTATCTGAGCACTGAAAAGACATGCTCTTTTCAGGTTAGTGAGGGACCCCCTCTGAGGCTCTGGAGGTCAACCATCGAAGTCCCTGCTCTGCCTGAGGAAGTCTTAAAGCGCCTACTTAAAGAGCAGCACCTCTGGGATGTAGACCTGCTGGATTCAAAAGTGATTGAAATCCTGGACAGCCAAACTGACATTTACCAGTACGTCCAGAACAGCATGGCGCCCCACCCTGCCCGGGACTGCGTCGTTCTGAGGTGAGAGCTCCACCAAGGCAGGGAGGCGTGTGTCTGTCACTGACAGTTATAAGATGGTGACTGTCATTTAAAGTGGAGCGGGTGCCTCTGGAAAAGGGTTTAACCTTTCCAAATACGGAGAATATATCTATGTTTACTCAAACAGTGTGTTCAACCCCGAAAGTTTGAATTCTTTTGGAATTGAACTCAGAAATAGAGGCACCATCGATGGAATATGCTCATGCATAGTGTATTCTTGCCCCATTTAGGATAGATTTTCTCGTTAGAAACAGCTAGTGAGCACCTAAGCCAGGAAATAACATTCGGGGCCCACGTGTGAGCTCTGTGTAAAGCTTATTCAGATATAATTCACAAATTCTCTCTGGAGACGTTATTGAAAGAGGAATTCCAAAAATGTTTGAGTAAATGTCACATCATTTGTCCAGAACTTTTCCAACAGAGCAACATTCATTTGGATGTCCATATTCTAATACATTTGTGACATATAAAAATGGTTTTCAGTCACACTTCAAATTCGTTCTCTGTCACAGAACTGACTTTGAGAGTCTATGTACCGGCTGCAAAAGTGGCTCTGTACAGAACTATTCATTCAGGAGGCCTTGCACAAAGCTCAGAGGATGCTGTCTGCACAGGGCAGGGCCTCCCATAGCCACTGACCCTGCTCCACAGCTGTCTCCTCGCAGAGTGAGGCCCCATTGTAAACTTGGCTTCCAGGAAATTCCATCTTTTTCCCCTCTGGTTTTGTGTCTACAGGACATGGAGGACTAATCTGCCCAAGGGGGCGTGTGCCCTTTTACTCACCTCTGTGGATCATGACCGGGCCCCTGTGGTGGGTGTGAGGGTCAATGTGCTCCTGTGCAGGTACCTGATCGAACCCTGCGGGTCAGGGAAGTCCAAACTCACCTACATGTGCAGAGCCGACCTAAGGTATGTGCTGAAAGTGATTTCTTGACATGGTGATGGTCCCAAAGAATATTGAGACTTTTTGTCTGATACAAAGAGTAGCTTAAAAGACTACACTGTTGTGTCTTTTATTCTTTATGGAGAGCGGTACTCACAAAGTAACACCTTCATGTTTCTTGGGCTTTTGGGTACTGCTTCCAATGCTGATCCCTTAGAGAATGTGGTACTAAAGCAATGTGGGTGTAGCAGTTCCGCCACAAATATAAAGCCATAGGAAGTGGGAGTTTGACCTGGCAAGCAGATGTTTCCCATTTTATACTCAAAGGTGTTTGAATAATGTGACATGCCCTTTCATTAATTAGGCCTAGACTCCGTGCCATAGATGAATGTGTATTTATAAAGGAAAATTAGTGAAATGCAGCAATACAGACCAAAAACATGAACCTTTGAAAACTTTCCAAAGTGGCTCTCATGTCAAATAAATTCTCATCTGCAATGTCTACATCTTGGTACTTTTTCTACTATCTGTGCAATCTGTTTTTGTTAAATGTGCCAAAGTTTTCTCTGAACAATTTCACTCAGTTCTGTACTCAGTATGTTATTCCTTGACAAACTTCTGATTCCAGAAGTGTAATGGGTGTGCCCAGAGATTACCTGGGGATAGGGACAGTAACCTTTAATTCCTCATTTTGCTAAGCAGAAGTGCATTCAGAGCTCCCTTAGATACCTCAGAGCCCTTCCAACTTGAATAATTCATCTGCGCTTCTTTTCTGTTACAGAGGCCACATGCCAGAGTGGTACACAAAATCTTTTGGACATTTGTGTGCAGCTGAAGTTGTGAAGATCCGAGACTCTTTCAGTAATCAGAACACTGAAACCAAAGACACCAAATCTAGGTGATTATGAAACAAAATAACTGTGTTCACCATCCAGGCACTTGTTTTTAGAACCTTGCCAGTCCGTGGGAGTTGTGCGTCTAATGCTGAAACAAAACTAACAAGTTGGAGTGTAGGAATTGACTGTAGCAATTTGACACATTTTTAAAGCTGCTTCCTGTTTGTTTAGGGCCTATATTGTAGACCTTGACTGGAATATAAGACTGTGCAGAAAAAGGTATTCTTATTCGAATTGCTTCTGAGAAGCAAAACTCTATAAAATACAGTAGGGAAGATAATGAAGATGTTGGTGTATGTGTACCTGTGTCATTTTATTTGCAGTGTGTTAAGGGACTGGTGTAGCCACTGGAATAGTTGGTACTCTGACATGTTTCCTCACTGAGATGAGCACAGAAAGGTTTGCACAGAGGAGTGTGTGTACGTGTGTTTGTTGTCGGCTGAATGGCTTAGATGTGTAGGTAGGGATACACAGTGTCTGGCACACTGAGATGCCTCCAAGATGGATAGCAATGCTTGTGATCCAGTTTAACCTGGAATATCTGACTACCTATGGATCCATCCAGAAAGGGAACCCAACCAACACCCTTGTCCATTTCTTAATTTTTTCCAAGTTATTAAGTGTATTCCTTCTTGAAAACCTCTTCTTTATCTTAAAAGTAACTGTAGTAAATGTACTGTGGTGTCCCACGCGAAGTGCAGTTTGCCTTTAGACCTGATTGCAAATAGCAATATGGTTTTTGACCAGTGTAGATTAGCTCAAAAATGAAACCCCATCCCTTACTAGCTCCAAAGCATTGTTTTGTTTCATTTTAAGCAGAGATGTAAAACCTGAACACTCTCCCTAACATTTACTCCTGAAACAAACATCAAAACTTTTTGCCTTTTAGAAGTATTTGCATTTTCATGTTTATAACAGAAACAATGTCATTAAGATACTATGTGTGGGAACATGGAACTATGTGTGGCCCAAGAAATCCCTGTAGATTTAACCCAGCTGCACAAGTGGTTTCTTGTTGTTATTAACAGCATTTCTGAAATACACGTTTGTTCATTGGATTTGTCCTTATCAACACGAAGGTTTTCTGGTTTTGTGGCTTTTTTTTTTTGGTTTGTTTTTCCTACATTTCTTTTTCTTCTCCTTTATAAAGATGCCCTTGGAATGTATTTTAGTGGTAATGAAAATATTGTAGTAAAAGCCAAAAAGAAAAAACACCAGCATGATTTTTTGGAAGGGAAGTCTTTATACAGGTTTTACTGTAATAGTTAAAGATCAACTCAAGAGACAGTATTAGTGAATCTATTTTGTATGGATCAAAAGTGAATAATGTATGAATGAGAATTGTAAGAAGGATTTTTATTTTATTATAACATATTTAGTTACCATTTTCAGTGTTATTTCAAAGGTTCTTTGAAGAATTTGTGGGGGACAGATTAGAGTTTTAAAATTTGAGTATTTTGCATATTAGTGTTCCTCGTGGAGATACACTTATATATTCAGTTTGAATGGCTTTCAGATTTGTAAGATTGTATGTTGTATATACATTACTATTAAGATAAAACATGTCCACGTGTTCACTGTGCTTTCAAATATAGATTAAGCATGATAAAGATTGTTATTTAAAATATACTTGTATTTATACCTCAGATATTCTTTTGGGTTTTGTACCTCAACCTTTTTTTTTTTCCTAATGTAAATACACTTTACATGAATACAGCCTAAGTGAAAAAATTAAAATGAAAGAAGAGGTTTATAACTTGCTCTGTATCTGTACAGAATATAATCCGTAAGTGCACTATTAAACGTTAGGAAAAGTCTGGCCTGCTTTCCCTTGCTGCGCCTCTCACCCGCACCCCGAGGACCACAGCTTGCCTCAGCTGAAATGAAAATGCAGATTTGCCGAAGGAAAAAGCAGACTACAAATCATTCCAAGGCCCAACTGCAACTGAGCCACTTACTCACAAACAGGAAACCCTGGTGAAGGTTCAGGAAGCACAGAGATTCTCCCAACAAAGGTCGTTAGGAAACGATGCTGAGAAAGTTACAAGAATAAGCAGCAGAAGGATGCTCATAAGCAAAGCCGAGGTCACCGATGAATTCCACAAAAGGTCTCTTTCCCACTGCTCAGCCTTCCTGTGGAAAGGATTCCTTACATATTTGACAAGAGGAGAGGTCAAAGGATGTGAACATTTTCAAAAACTCTGCTCAAGTCATCTAACATGATTTTGCTGCAATTTACTAATTGTGACTAATTGCCTACATTGTAAGCTCTTTGAGGGCAGGGCTTCTTTCCTACACATCTTTATAATCCCCTCCAGCTGCTTTCAGTGTTTTATACTTGTAGGCACCTAATAAATTTATAATTTGCCGAAAGGACTTGGTTGAATTAGCTTCTGTTATTTGAAAGGATGAGAATCTAGGATGCCATCTGTCTTACACCTCCCTTTGTCTCACCACTGCCCATTTTGAGATTGTGGAAACTAGAAATGGTCAAACCTACTGGAATCTTAAAGTTTAAGCTGGTAGAAATGCTTAGGTAGATGTTCTATGTAGACGCTATGGATGCTGATGATAATTGAAGAGTTCTTTGTGATGGAACTTAACCCATCTCATTTCTTGGATACAACATGATATTGATCTCAAAATAGGTTTTTATTTCAGAACATTATTCACTCTCTGGGCAGAGAAAGAGGAAAAGCCTAACCCCTTTATAATTTTTTAGGACACACACAGACCAAAGGCTTTTTTATTTGCCTCCAGATCTGGTTTCCTCAGAGCTGTATGAAATAAAGATCAAAATGTCTTAGGCCTGAATAGTTACTACTTTAGTTGCTCACATCGTTCTGAAGTCGTGCGTTACTACCAGGCTATGTGAAAGGTCACCACCGTGGAGGGGAGGTTCTCACAGACACCTACTGTGGGTCTACATAGCTTTTCACACCACCCATTTGCACATCCAACTCAGTTTTTCAACACCTATTTACTTCACAACATGCTCACTACTGAAGATACAGTGGTGAATAAGGCTGACATCACCCTACCCTCATGGAATTAAGATCTATTCTCACAGATGTTAAAATAAAAATGATAATGCCCTGTAATGACCATTAGGACAGGTTCCTGTGCATCCAGGAGGGGTAGCTAAGATCTTAACAAAACTCAAGGCTACTGCTAGACTCAAAGCATCCTCCTGCCTGCCAAGTTGTAGATGGAATAACTTGGGAAATTCTAGTAAAATTAAATGGTTCTTTAAGAAGTTTTTTTTCCAGGACTGATGTAGACAAGTGAGATTTTTGGAAAGTAAAATCTGAGGAAAAATTCAGGTGATCCAAATGGATGCATTCTAACATCACCAGTTGGGTGGTGTGTGCAGCGGAGACAAAGGCTATACAAGTGTGTGGGATTCTATAGCTACATTCATGGGTCCTTATTCTAGTTCTAAGCATTTTGCAGACACATTTAAGCCTCACACATACCTCGAGAAGCCTAGGTATTATTGTTCTAAGGTGAGGATGTGGCTTAGCGAGGTAGTAAGGAATTAAGGTACCCGGAGTCAGAAGGAGTTGAGATTCCAGCCCAGGTCCACTACCTCTGACTATCTCCTTTTTGCTGATCTTTCCCTAACTGGGAAGATTTCTCATAGTAACAACCAATCCACACGGCCTCAGCATCAGAATTAAGAAGAACTCTAGGGAAATGAAGGTCCATAGCAAAATAACCACATTAGGCAAAGTCTCAAATTATTGTGCCACCCCAGGACTGAGATGCTTAAGGACAAATTAAATGGGTCAAAATTAATATGAGGCAAAAGTTTTGCTCAGAATAAGGGTTGAAAGAACGTTTAATTCTGTTTGCAAGTTGAATATATACAGACTTGAAATGTGGAAAGACACTCCTTAGGCCTCCCATGAAACAGAACATGATTCTTCACATTTGCAAGCACAGAACCATTAGACATGCGGTCTAATTATAATCCACCCAACACCTCTGATCCAGCTGCATTGCTTCATGGGTACAAGGGGGGACATCTGTTTAGAAGCCTCTTACCTTGCAGCCCAGGACCAGGACGCTGGGCTTGTGACTTTCAACAATACCTCATGCCCTTCCCACCCCACAGGAATAGCACAAAGTACAACTGAGAGACTTGTGAAGGTGCTTTGAAAAGCAAGAGCAAGGGCTCCCGAAAGGTGAAGCAGCATTCACGCAGGCCAAGGGGAACGTAGCCCGGATGCTTTACCTGGCCTGCCTGTTGAAGCATACATTAATGATTATAAAGCCGAAATCCTGAACCATGAGATCATGCATGCATGTCACTTTGGTGTTCCATCAGGATGAAATTTGCCTAAGGAATTTAAATTCCATTTGCCTAAGGAATGCAAATTACAGAAGACCTCAAAGAGCCTGTGGCAGGCGAAGCTCAGGTAGGTCTGTACAGTTGCAATGAATCTAGGCCCATTCTCAGTCCTTTGCAAGCAGGGAGTTTGCTAAATCATGTTGGCAGCTGTAGCCCGAAAGTAATTACCCTTGCTGTGTATACACAGGTCGCATTAGAGCAGCCGGTTTGCCTGTCTGCGCCCAAGGCTGTATTGACACCTATAGTGTAAACACCCCTTTTCAGAGATTTTTCATCTCATTGTACTTAAAAAGAAAGATGAGTTCAGAGCTAGAAATGTTGCTCCTCACAGGGAATTTTCATTTCTTTCTCTTTCCTATTAAGATACAAAACGCTGTGGAAAGTGAAAGGCTTACTCCCCGTATGACTCGTAAGAATGGCTCTCATCAACCATGAGTGACTTGTTCCTGAAAAAATAGTTTAATTCCTAAGGAAATTGTTTCCAGAAGCTTTGTAGGTTACAGGTATTTTAAAATATAAATGTGTTTGGCTCAAGTTGGAATGGACTCATTGAGCTACCATTTAAACTATGCAAGGTCCTGGGATGTATGCTTTACATACAATTAATGCTGCATTTGAATTTCATAACAGTCCTCTGAAGAAGACCTTATTGCCTCCTTTTATAAATGTAAACTTTAAAGAGGTGGGGAGGCTTAAAGAAAAAAAAAGTAGCTATGTAACATTTGCAAAGGGACTCAAAGTCTAGAGCAACACATTCCGCCCCAATGGAAATGTTCCGTCTCTGCTCTACTAGGGTGGCCATTAGCATATGTGGCCATGGGGTGCTCAAAATGTCCCTAATTCAGAATGTGTCCTCCTTCAGACTGAGGAACTGAATGTTCAGTTTTATTTCATCTAGATTAGTTTACATTTAAATATCTGCATGTAGCTATTGGCTACTGTATTAGTATAAGTTTTCTTTCAAGAATCAAAGAATATTTCCAAGCAGTCCAATTCCTAGCTCTCTCTTCACCTATGATAGCACTTTTAAAAAAAATACAAAAAGAAAAAGAAGAAAGAAATATGGTAAATATTTATAAAAATCAAACTGGCTGCATTTCAGGTCAGATAACTTACTCAACATTCTACCCACGGCAAGATGCAGCCTGCATCTCCCTGAGCCTATGGCCAGCTTCTGCGTATCTCAAGCTCCAGCTGGGTGACCTCTTTCTCTTTCAACGAGTATTTGCACATCAGCAAACCAGAGGTAACAATGTAGCTGATCTGAAAGAATGTGCAATGACTCAGAATGTTCTCGGCTTGCTGTGAGAGGGCCCCTCACAGATGTTGCTGCTCTAAACCACAGTTGTCCCTTCCAGATCTGTACCTGTGCCTTCAGTGTCTTTGACTCTCGTGCCCAGGCTTCCTTTCATGTTGCTGAGACTGGCCACTGGGCACCAACTATCAAGCGAATGCTTGACTTTCACGGCTAGGGGTTCTCAATCTGGGTTTGCTGACAGTGAGACACCCCAACCCAGAGGTCAGTGGTGACCACTCTCTAAGACCAACGTGTCTTCAGCAGAGGTTCCTTGCTTTTTGCTCCAAAGCATTTGCTCTCTTTTAACATGCTCCATCGTTTTTCAAAGTTGTTAAAGATTTATCATATTAAACACTATAAATTACTAAGAAGTAATGCATTTCTTATTTTCCGTTGGCACATGTGCTTTAAGACTGCTCATCAAGGCTAAAAGCCTCTTAGAAAGAAGTGTGAAATAACTTGTGTTGGAACATGATTTGAAAGTGTTCTCGGTGAAAAGCAGCCTAGAAAGGCTTTTAAAGCTGAAGCCCAAGGCCATCAGCTCCACCCATGGAAACTCAGAAAGAATCCCTAGTCTGGGGTTCACTGAAGGTTCCTCACTCAAGCACTTAATACAGGAGATAATTAATCAAGGAAATGAGGGACTTATGTCATGCTCCAAAGAAACTAGTTTTCCTTAATTCTAGGCCAGGCTGAAAGGATGTATTTTTTTCCAATAACAAAGATAAGCTGAGCTCTATTTTGTTGCAGCATTTCAAAATGTAAAAATATGAATAGATGACTAACCTCATTCCAAGAAGGCAGGAAACTAAAAGTTCGCACACTTTGTAGAGATTATTAGAGCAGGAAGAAGTGTGAACCCCCTGGGACCATGTGAAATGCTGCAGTATCTCAAAGAGCTCAAGCATATCTCACCTTGAGACCCAGAATACTGAAAATGGACTATGTTTTCCTGCCACCCTAGGAGAGGAAAGGAGAAGCGAAATTTCCAGACGCAAAGCAACCTGGCTGGTACGTCATGATAAAGGTATAGCTGTTTGAATTCACTGTGTGTTTATTTTGCTTCTATTGGGTTACATGTGTTTGGCCTATCTCTGCTAGATAATTGAGGGATTCTTTATCCTTTTCCCCCTTTGGGCAAGGACAGCTCTCTAAAGTTGTTACAAGAGGAATATTATGGGAGGTGGTCAGGCCCTGGGGAGAGCTAATGGTCACTCGGTAGGTTAGATAGGTTAAGGACACAGCTGCAAGGTGGTAGTCAGAGAAAGCAGATTTGGGCCAAATTTGCTTAACTCTGGGTGCACGCAGGCATACGTTTGAAGACAAAGGAAATTTGCTGGTGGGGAGGAGAGGATGCACACAGCATCAAAGGCCCTCTGTGATAGGGAAAGAATGGGCTCACAGGAGGAAGCGTGGCTTTCAAAAAGGAAGGAGTATGCCCTCCTCGGGAACACGAAGGACAGGCTAATACGTATCTTGGTGAACCAGAGCCTCCGGGCCACAGAGAGAAGGCTGAACTGGGTGGGATTTTCGAGATGGCCAAACCCACATATTTAATTTTCCAGAAGCAGAAGCAGAGTTGGACTTTAAATGACAGCAATGAATGGCCTAGACCCCCACATTGGGATGAGAGCTGTCCCCATGGAGGGGCGTAGGTTTTCTTCCCCAGTGAAAGGGCAGATGAGCAGCCCCGCAGTAGCCATTTCTCTGAACTTACCTCCATGC